ATGCTGTACAATAATTTGATGTTTGCTTTTTTACAGAATCTTAGTAAAAACAACATATGTAAAGTAATTAATTCCATCAGTGGTTAATTCTGTTCACAAACATAATTTCTTGGTGGAGATGTTTAATACAGCTAATACCCTCTGCTTTTTTTTCTTTGCTGCATTCTCCAACATTAACATTTGATTCTCTATTTGCACAAAGAATGTCATTCCTCCAAGGTCTGAAGACCTTTCAGATATAGATGGGTCTACAGCTGGGGTTGGCATAGGTATTATAACCCACATCTTAACCTAGTCAGAGAGAGTGACTACCACACATCGAACACCATTCTCGGTAAAACAGCCTTTGGCAGAAGTTTTGGGAAATGACAGTATGTGCTACAAATGCCAATGCTCCAGCATGGTCACATCATTCTCAGAAGTACTGCTCTATGCCAAGATTACTTCTGGAAACCAGGCCAAATGAGCTGGGCTACATGAGAATGTCTAGCTTTTTACTTAGATTGTATCCCTTTCTCTGAAGAGCTTATTTCCTAGTGTGTGTGTAAAGCACCCAGCACAATAGGCCCCGGATCTCAGTTGGGACTACTAGGTGCTACTGAGGTAATAATAATAACAATAATATGCTAGTGTGTGGATGCTAGTATGGTGTTAACATTCATTCAGTTAACAATGGAATGGAATGTATTTAAGAAATATTCTGATTCTGCACTGAAGAAATGAATATTGATCTCACAGCAGTGTAATCCTGGAGTACGTTCACTGAAGTCAGTATGAGGGGAAAATCAGGTCTGTTGACTCCCTGAATTCCACTCTTGGAGGCTTTCATACAATTTGGAAGTAGAAGGCCTGATTCTGGTCTTATTCACACCAGTTTTACACCAGGGTAATTCATCTGATTTCCATGAAGATGTTCCCAATTTACAACAGGGGCAGTGACAGCAAAATTTGCCCCAATATATGCAATTTTCAGAAAGCAAATGGATACTGGAGTGTGCTGCTAGGTTTTCATCCACTTGCCAATCATCTTTTTGTTGTGGACAACAGAGGACAACTTCAGTGCAGTATGTGGCCCCCTCTTTCTTTCTGACTGAAAGGCATAAAGCTATAAGTCACGGTGCTGCTGTGTATTTCCTTCGTGCTCCTTCGTGCAGAACCATTAAAAGCTTTCCCTTCCTGATTGAAACTATCCAGGCCTTTGTGCTAAAATGCTAGGGAAGCACCAGCATTCCCAGCAGCCCAGGTGCCACATGTGATTAACAAGAAGGGTTATGCTCAGATGTTATGTGGATGGGTTCATTATAATTACCTAGAGGTGATCACAAGTATCAATGCCTAACACTGACATTACACATCTGCTACAAAGTATCCCCTCACATTCCCCTCCATGCTTTGTGTAGCAAAGGAAGTCTGAGGTTTTTCTCTGACCTAACTGTCTCGGAAGACTGCTTTTTCTCCCAATGAACTTCCAAAGACATATGTTCAGATCTAGCTGTCCCTGTACAGTATGTTGAAATAAAAACTTAATTTCCTTTGGAAAACAGAATCATCTTATCATATGGTTGTGTCACACCACCCTATAATGCTGGGCTAATTCCGCTGCAGTCGTAGGCACAACTTAATTTAAGTCAGTTGGTTTACCCTGCCAGTGGTGAACCAGTTAAAGGTCATCATGAATTATTATTCAATATTTTATTTGTTGTTACTTACGAGGAAAAATCCACTGTAACTGCCTATACTAAAAAGTTAGGTCGACCCAACTATGTCACTCATGGGTGTGAAAAATCAAAGCCTGACCCTGAAAAAGAATAGGTGGAGGCTCCCAACCTCAGGACATTTACCCACACCTGTGTCCAGCACAGAGCAAGAGGGAGGGGAGTTGGCACAATATTTTATTCTGTAAACAAAATGGAACGTTGAGCTTATTGGAGCAATCTGACTTGCTAGTGTACAGGTGGCTAAATGTCTAGACATGCTCTGCACATACCACTTTAAACTGTATTAACCATTAAGAAAAACCATACACCTATTTTTGTATTTACTTGTTTCCATTTTCCAGCTGATAATAGCAATTATGAACTCAGCTCAGGCTACTTCCTGGGGATTAGTTACTAGCTGAGATTTCTCCCATCTGATATTAATCCTCAGGAAACACTCTGCATCTCCTTCATACAAACCTCCAAACTATGGTGTGAATACAAAAAAAGGATTAAATACAAAGGGAAGTGTCATGGGGAAGTAATAAACATGTACTTGGTATTGTATCAGTCTAACAAAAATAAATACACTGACATTTGTTTCATACTATTCTATGGAATCCAGCTATGATTTTTAATTTTAAGACATTCAAGTAGAATTCAGATTTAGATTCCACTGATTCTTTCTGTGCAATCAACTCAGTATTCCTAGTCTCAATTAGTTCAGTTTCTGGACGGATGAAAGGCAATTTCTTGTAAAGTATACTCTTTTAAATTCCTAAGAGATAAGGAATTAAGGAAAGTGGCTAATGCTGGATCTTTGGATGATCGCATTACATAAACACAAATTATGGATCTGTCAAAAGACAAATAGGGAACACTTTGCTACAGTTCTTACTAAAGAATATAATTGAAATCAAGTCTATTGAGTTCAATGGGTGTTTTGCTTGAGAAAGGATGGTAAGATTGAGCCTTTAGAGATCAATATTCCTATTTATTTTTCCCCACCATAATAAATCTCCCTTTGCGTTTGATACTAAAGGGCACAAGTTATAAATCTAACAAACATATTTAAATAACAGAAAGTAACTCCACTGGAATAACAAGGGTTTTTTAAGTGTATGCTATTATATTTAGCAAAATTAATGCTATGTGGCATTATCATCTTCATGTTATAAACAAATTACTGACTTCTAGCTGATGTGATGAAATAATAGGTATGCATAATAAAGACAGAGAGGTAAACTTAGAATGCCATTTTATGTACATGTCTTTGAAGTGCACAAAGAAAATCCTGTTTCACTTGCATGTGTGCACACGCATGTATAAAATGGGTGTAGTTTAAATGGAGAGGTACTATTTATAGAAAATGTAAATTAAGTTTTGAATAACTGACCAGTCTTTATTAGCCTCTCATGTTTAGAGTTTCATGAAGCATGGTCTTATTTCTGGGCAGACCACCAAAATTAGTTAGCATGAATGTTACTGCATATTGTAAAATGTCTCTCTCATATATATAACATCCCTGTACCCACTGTCTAATGCATTCCAGCTAGCGATCAGACATTTTGCATAGGATCGGGTCAGCCTGCTAATACCTTTAGGTTCTTATACTGCACACATCAGCATGCTATCTGAGTACCTATTGATTTTAATTTCAGATATAATTTAAGTTATTCCTCAGGGGAGGAAGGTTACAACAAACTCGGGTATGTAATCAGACCAGGACAAAAGGCTTTCAACTAACAATATTATTGTATGAAGATTAGATTTAGTTGTGTCAAGACTTCTGGATGTTTCTGAAAATGTACACATTTAAACATTAATGTGTTGGGCCTGGATTCTGCAAACACTTAAGTGCATGCTTAACTAAAACACATGACTAATTCCACTGAAGTCAATGTGACTACGGACAAAAAAAAGTTATGTATGTGCTTAGGTGTTTGCAGAATGAGGGCTTGGAGAGCAGGAAACTGAGAAGAGTGATGAGAAATTCTATACATCTGAAGAAGTGAGGTTTTTACCCACGAAAGCTTATGCCCAAATAAATCTGTTAGTCTTTAAGGTGCCACCAGACTCCTTGTTGTTTTTGGAGAAATTCCATTGTTTCCTCCTACTTCACAGAACAGGGTAAGATGACAGGATGGTAAAGGTTTGTACTCTGTCCATTCTGGTGCTCCCACGGGTGCTGTCACATTTGGAACTGCACTACTGGTAATGTGAGAATGGAAAATTTCCCCCCAAAAGATTAGCATAGATACAGCCAGAATATGGTGAATAGTTGGGTAAACTTCCAGTTGAGTTGATGGAGTTGAGCTTTTAAGCAAAAAGGGAATAACTAAATGAAGCTTTGTGTTTCAGGAGTATCAAATCACCTTTTCTGGGAGTTCAGATGCAATTCCCACTGATTCTGTTTCCTTCTCAACCCTCTCATCCCTGCCTCAAACTGACAATAAGGGGGTTTGCTCTCTTTTAAACCATTTTTTAAAGTTTTTTTTTTAAATGTCATTTTTTCTTTTCATGAATAACTGGGTTAAAAGCGTATAGCTTGAAGAGAACAGAGTTGTCATTAAAACATTGCAGGTGTGAAAAGTCACACACTGCTTACTATGCTTCAAATGGAAACGTTAGTTATGGTTTGGCCATTCTGTGATGTCTTCCTTCCCACTCTAGTAGATTGTTCTGTGATTTTTCATGATTCAGAGAGCAGATAGGTGGTAGACAGCTGTCACAAGGCCTGTAAATATTTAGCCACAAACCATTGCACAGAATAGAAGACTGGATGTATTTTAAGTAGAGATGCATTGGGCAACCTGAAAACCCATTTATTCCATTCTGGCAGATACACTCAGGGCCGGCTCCAGGCACCAGCCTGGCAAGCAGGTGCTTGGGGCGGCCACTCCGGAGAGGGGCAGCACGTCCAGCTATTCGGCGGCAATTCGGCGGATGGTCCCTCACTCCCGCTCAGATTTGCCGAATTGCCGCCGCAGATCGCGATCGCGGCTTTTTTTTTTTCTTTTTTTTGGCTGCTTGGGGCGGCCAAAACCCTGGAGCCGGCCCTGGATACACTTCTTGACTCATTGACGTTAAATGTCTGTTTCAATGGGTTAACTGAATTTATAAATATCTGTTCACAGCAACACTGTCATGCAGTATAAATGTGTGTCATTTTAACATTACCTGTAATTTTTTTCATTTTACACATTAGCATATCTATGGGCAAATCAGCTGGGGAGAGTGCCTGCTGCTGGTAGTTTTAAATATTAAACAAACACTTTAAAATCCATTACTTTCCATCAGTACCTGTCTTTCAGTGAGGTCCAGATTTACAGCTATCTCATATCTCCTCAGCCTGGTCAGGTAGTTATGATGGGCAAATTCTGCTTCTAGCTCTCTGATTTGCTCCTTGGTAAAGGCTGTCCTTTCCTTCCTAGGCTTACTGTTGACCTCTGATTTGTAATTTCCTTCCTGGGAATCTGAAACAAAGGAGAGATACAAGTGAAAGTTATGACAAGGGTGTGATTTATTAGGAACTAAACCTCACAGATTAAGGCTGTGCTCATCCTCTACATGAGCACCTCAAAAACTGCCCTGCCCTGGAATAGCAGAAGCACACTGGCTTTGGTACTAATGGACCCTCCACTGCCACAGAGCAGAGTAGCAGGTGTTTTCCCAAGAATCCTGAATGTAACTAAAGAACTAGCACTGAATAGGATGAATCTTCTGGCTAGTGACCTACTGGATGGCATGTCAAGGGTTGGCTCTATTCTGTTATTTCACTAACATGTCAAACAAAGCTATCCCTATCAGAGGGGACATTTTCAATTTTATCCAATTACAGCTTTACAGAAATAAAATAAATAAGAGAAGAACATGTGAAATCCAGTCAACAGCATGATGATGAAATGGATGCGCACTGACTGCAGAATCATAGGGTGCTGCCCCCTAGCATGCCCAGAAGTAGACATTCCATGAACCCCTAAACTTTTAGATATGCAATAGAAAGTAGTGCTGCCACCATAGCCCATACACTAAACTATTCTTCCTGCAGATGCAGGTAAATTATCATTTCTGCCATTATCACAACAGTGAAAATCCTCTCACAACCCTCATAGTTTCAGTTACTCTCACAGCAAAGTATCAGGGGTCTGATGCAAAGCTACTAAGTCAATGAGTCTTTCCATTCTCATCAATGGGCTTTGGACCAGGCCCCATTTGAATAAATCTATGATCTGATTGTCGAAGTTCCTAAAGTTTTGTCCCATAAAATGTCTTTTGCTCTATCTTTTTCAAATCTGGGCATGTCACAATACCTGCAAGTTCAATTTTAGTAGGCGTGCAGCATGAGAATCATTGGTCAACTCCTGGCCTCCTGAACCATCTCAAAAATGTCACAGATACATTCACACTTCAGCTGCTGATTTAAATAGAAACCTGCATCAATTTCCAAATGGACAGACGCATAAGCAGTCTCTCTATGACGTTCTATGTCAGATGACTCATCAGCATGCTTGAAATAGCCTACCGGACCACTGAGCCCAATAACAAAACTACTAACAATTATGCAGGTTTATAAGAGTAGAATGAGGTGAGTTTGGGGTCATTATTACCCTGTTGCTTGAAAAAACAATCAGTGGCTTTTATGCAAATTAGTAAGAAATTCATAGCTTCATAGCTTCATAGATTCATAGATTCTAGGACTGGAAGGGACCTCGAGAGGTCATCGAGTCCAGTCCCCTGCCCGCATGGCAGGACCAAATACTGTCTAGACCATCCCTGATAGACATTTATCTAACCTACTCTTAAATATCTCCAGAGATGGAGATTCCACAACCTCCCTAGGCAATTTATTCCAGTGTTTAACCACCCTGACAGTTAGGAACTTTTTCCTAATGTCCAACCTAGACCTCCTTAATGAATGATTCAATGCTACAGTCACAGGTTTATGCTGCCAAAGGTGATAGGTTCAAATCCCAATGGAGTAATTTAAAGAACAAAACAAAACCCAAAATCAGTGATACCATGGTGGTGGCCAGGATATAAGAATGTAAACTGAATAGGAGGAAATGTTTTTATTTGATGCAAAACATAAATTTCCAGTATGGATGAGACTGTGTCCTGTCCCTGTGCAGTTGAGAAGGTGAGAGTAGAGTGGAGAGAGGTAAAAAACAGCCTTCTCCCACGGCTTCACTGCAAGCAAAAGAGCTGGACAAAACTTAAGTCCCTGTTCTCAGAGGAGCACAGCTCCTTCCTAATAACCCAGGGTGCAAATTACCTCAAAGATGTCAGGAAGGAACCTGAGTCATGTTCCCCTCTTCCTTCTGTACTAGCCCGCAGAGTGTGTTGCATCAGCCAGTTGGGGGCATCACCAGGAAGCATAATTCTCTCCAAAATTTTCAGCATGCTGGCATGCACACTGCATTTCCTTCCTGAAGTTGCTCCTCAACTGCTGCAGCTCTGCCACACCCCAGTTCAGGTCCATGTGTAATTTACAAATCTCATTCCATGTGTTTGAATCCTTATACGAGTACTCTCCATGTATCAGTTTAGATGGAAGTCTAAACCATCTTTTTAGGATTATAAGTGATAGTTACACTTAGAATCATAGAAATGTAGGACTGGAAGGGATCTCGAGAGGTCATCTAGTACAGTCCCCTGCACTCATGGCAGGACTAAGTATTATCAAGACAATCCCTGACAGGTGTTTGCCGATCCTGCTCTTAAAGATCTCCAATAATGGAGATTCCACAACCTCCCTGGGCAATTTATTCCAGTGCTTAACCACCCTGACAGTTAGGAAGTTTTTCCTAATATCCAACCTAAACCGCTCTTGCTGCAATTTTAGCCCATTGTTTCTTGTCCTATCCTCAGAGGTTAAGGAGAACAATTTTTCTCCCTCCTCCTTGTAACTACCTTTTATGTACTTGAAAACTGTTATGTCCTTCTCAGTCTTCTCTTCTTCAGGCTAAACAAACCCAATTTTTTCAATCTTCCCTCATAGGTCATGTTTTCTAGACCTTTAATCATTTTTGTTGCTCTTCTCTTGACTTTCTCCAATTTTCTGAAATGTGGCACCCAGAACAGGACACAATACTCCAGTTGAGGTCTAATCAGCGCAGAGTAGAGCGGATACGTCTCATATCTTGCTTACAACACTTCTGCTAATACATCCCAGAATGATGTTTGCTTTTTTTTGCTACAGTGTTACACTGCTGACTAATATTTAGCTTGTGATCACTATGACCTCCAGATCCCTTTCTGCAGTACTCCTTCCTGGGCAGTCATTTCCCATTTTGTACATGTGCAGCTGATTGTTCCTTCCTAAGTGGAGTACTTTGCATTTGTCCTTATTGAATTTCAGACCATTTCTCCAGTTTTCCAGACCACTTTGAATTTTAATCCTATCCTCCAAAGCACTTGCAACCCCTCCCAGCTGGATATCGTTCACAAACTTTATAAGTGTATTCTCTTTGCCATTATCTAAATCATTGACGAAGATATTGAACAGAACCGGACCCAGAACTGATCCCTGAGGGACCCCACTTGATATGCCCTTCCAGCTTGATTCTGAACCAATGATAACTACTCTCTGGGAACAGTTTTACAACCAGTTATGCACCCACCTTATAGTAGCTCCTTCAAGGTTGTATTTCCCTAGTTTGTTTATGAGAAAGTCATGAGAGGCAGTATCAAAAGCCTTACTGAAGTTAAGATATGCAACATCTACCACTTCCCCTCTATCCAGAAGGCTTGTTACTCTGTCAAAGAAAGCTATCAGGTTGGTTTGACACGATTTGTTCTTGACAAATCCATGCTGATTGTTACTTATCACCTTATTATCTTCTAGGTATTTGCAAATTGATTGCTTAATTATTTGCTCCATTATCTTTGCAGGTACGGAAGTTAAGCTGACTGGTCTGTAATTCCCTGGGTTGTCCTTATTTCCCTTTTTATAGATTGGCTCTGTATTTGCTCTTTTCCAGTCCTCTGGAATCTCTCCCGTCTTCCATGACTTTTAGAAGATAATCGCTAATAGCTCAGATGCTTTCTCAGTCAGTTCCTTGAGTATTCTAGGGTGAATTTCATCAGGCCTTGGTGACTTGTTGCACAAGCATGAACTCTTTCCTTTTCTATCTCTGAACATACATTGATCCTACATGAACAGCAGCAATGTTGTTCATAAGGTTGATAACCACAATGGTAGTTTTATTGTGGAATATTTAAGCACTGCTTCATGCTTTAATATTAAACACTGAAGCTTGGTCTACACTAGAAAATGTATACTGATACAACTATATCAGTGGCGGGGTGTCATGTTTTTACTGATGCAGTTATAAGACACTTTTATATTCATATAACTGTGGTGATACTAGGACTTACACCACTGTAGCTTATTTCAGTCCTGAACCAGAATAAGTTATACTGGTATATGCACTTTTACACTGGTATGACTATGTCCACAGTAGGTGGGTTTTAGCACTTTAACTCTACCAGTATAGTTTAAACGGCAAAATTTCCAATGTAGAGAAGCCCTAATTCAAGGCAGTTAATAGTGACCTCCTGCAGAAGGGGTAATGCTCAGGATGTAAAGGCCATAAACGAGGTGTCTTTTCATCTTGATACATGCAGTATGTCTTCCAATTATGGTAAAAGGAATATTATGAGGAGAGAGAGAGAGGAGGCAACTCTAAGAGCACCCCCTAGTTTGCACACATATTAATCAGTAGGAAGAATCATTTTGATTAAAATCCTTTGAATAACACTGAGTTCCTGTGAAAAAATATCCCTCCCCTTTTGCAGGGCATGAGCTCTAAGACTGACAGAACGAAGAATGTGTCCAAAGACTTTTTTGATCTGAGAAGAATACTTCGTAGTACCACCTATAGTTAAGCAGAAAGTAACTCTTGGTGCCATGGCAATTGGGAAAGACACTGATGGCAATTGTTTACTGCAAGCATATGGATCATCACAGAGAACAGTAAATGAACTAAGAATGCAGAACAACCTTAATGATAAAAAATACATCTCAGTGAGACAAGTCATCCTTTGGATAATGGTATTTGTAGGTCAAAGTCAAAGCTTTATGTTTTAAACTTGTGAAAGTCAGGAATTCAGAATCTAAATCCCAAGCCCCTGGGATACTGGGGCACAAAGAGACAAATGTAACTGTCATACAAGCACGTAAGAAGTGTTTGTCCTAATCATGCTTGCTAGCATGCAGCCTGAATGGGTGGATTTAGGACAGCCAGTAACATTAGCCCACGCAGATCCTGTGTGAAACTAAAGTTGCTGGGGCAACTTGTTATTTAGACGTTCCTACCATTACTGGATACTAGTAAATGTCACACTGTACATTTTTGGCAGCAGTAGTTCTGTCAGCAGTATGTTTTCATTGGCAGATTGGCACACTGGTAAAGTCTGCATTTTTGTGAGGTTTTTTTGTTTTGTTTTTTGGCATCTCACTGAGTGCTGATGT